CCAGCTCCAGGTCGAGCTGTTGTTCAGCATCTTAGCTGTAGAGGGCAGTGTCACTGGCCCTCATATGTGGGATCCGAACCAGGGCCCTCTGGTGTCCCAAGCCAGTTCTTAACCATCGCGCCACTTGGCCGGCCCAATAGTAGCCATTGTTAACAGGTGTGAGGTGCTATCTCATTGTAGTTTTGATTTGCATTTGCCTGACTGATTAGTGATGTTGAATATCTTTTCATATACCTGTTGGCCAACTGTATGTCTTCTTTGGAAAAATGTCTGTTTAGATCCTCTGCCCATTTTTTAATTGGATTGTTTGTTTTTATTGAGTTGCATGAGTTCTTTATATATTTTGCACTTTAACCCCTTATTAGATACATGATTTGCACATATTTCCTCCAATTTTATAGGTTGCCTTTTCATTTTGTTGATTGTTTCCTTTGCCGTGCAGAAACTTTTTAGTTTGACATAGTCCTACAGTTTATTTTTGCTTTTGTTACCTTCACTTTTGTTGTCAAATACAAAAAAATAATTGCCAAGACCGATGTCAAGGAGCTTACTGACGATGTTTTCTTCTAGGAGTTTTGTTTTCAGGTCTTCAATTCAAGTCATTTATTTGAGATTTTTCTTGTTTCCTGAGGTAGGCATTTATTGCTATGCACTTCCCTCTTAGAAATCCTTTTTCTGTGTCCCATGTTTTGTATGTTGTATTTCTATTTCATTTGTATCAAGGTATTTCTTGATATTGCTTTTGATTTCTTCATTTACCCATTGGATGTTCTGTAGCATGGTGTTTAATCTCCATGTATTTGTGAATTTTCCAGTTTTCTTGTTAAAATTTATTTCTGTTGGGTTATCTGAAAAGTCATGATGTATTTTTTCTATGTTTTTTGTTGCAAAAATGCATCATGACTTTTCCGACAACCCAACAGTTTCATACCACTGTGGTCAGAAAATATGCATGATATAATTTTAAATTTGTTGAGACTTGTTTTGTGTCCTAATATATGATTTGTGTTGGAGAATGTTCCATGTGCACTTGAGAATGGGTATTCTATTGCTTTTGGATGGAATGTTCTATATATATCTGCTAATTCCATCTGGTCTAAATGTATCATTTCATGCCAACGTTTCTTTATTGATTTTCTGTCTTGATGACATATCCATTCAAGTAAGTGGGGTATTGAAGTTCCCTACTATTATTCTTATGTTCTCTATTGCTCCTTTTATGTCTGTAAATATTTGCTTTATATATTTAGGTGCCCCTATGTTGGCTACATAAATATTTACAAATGTTACGTCCTCTTGTTGGATTGATCCCTTTATCTCAAGAGATACTGAGAGAGCTAGTGACTAATATTCTTACTAAAGACAGCAAGAGTAAAGACTCTCCTTAGTCATTTAAACATTTAAGTACTACAAAGTGTTAGTAAAATGTACCATCTTTTAGAGAAAAGTAACCTTAACAGGTGGGATAAGACATGCTAATTCTGCTGAATTCCAGAGTCCAGGAAGTTAAAAGTAAGCTAGAAAATATCAGCACAATGTTAATGTACTGATTCACAAAGAAAGCTGAAAGTAGGCCAGAGCTTATCTAAAGCTTAGTTCAGAAGAAGTGACTAAATAGAAAACACTCATATTTAGAATGATTTTGGTGCAAAACCTTCCCAGCTCTTTTTACCTTCACTTATACCCTAATATTACAATGCCTCCTCTTCCCCATTCAGTAGTACAAACACATTAAAAGGAATGGATCCTCAGATTAGATACCTGAAGATTAGAGGAGTCTTCTAGCATTTTCTCATGAGCAGTGCTTACTTAGTTTATCAGATTACCTCTTGAAAGCTGTGGTAGACTGTCTCCAAAGGTGGCTGCCAACAATGCCTCCTGTCTGTTCACAAGTGCTTCTTTCCCCATCAAGGAATGGTATTTGTTT